TTTTTAAATAAAATAACTAAGATAGTACGGGCGTTCTGGTTGATTTAAAACCTATGGTTTATTGTGTCGGTAAACTCATAGGAAACTTAAAGTTATTTATAAAAGCAATAGACCACACCTTCTATGGGTTTACCGGCGTAATGACCCACCTGGGAAGTTGGGAGAACACTCGCAGGCTTGTAAATCACTCGCCTTCAGCTCGTGATTTACAAGCTTTTCTCGTGTTCTTCCAACATCCAGCGTGGGTTATCACGCCGGTAAACCTATAGAAAGTGTGGTCTATTACTTAAATAACTTACATATAACCTCTAATAACCAGTCTCTATCCACTTCCTTGTCCTGCCATTTCAACCAGTTAATAGTACGTCAACGAAGAGATCGCATTTCTTTAAACAAGTTTCCTTAGAAAGTTCGTTGACGACAAGAAGAAATAATCAGTGAATGGAAGACGTACGTAAAATGTTATCTCTAGCATCTTCGATTCCTACGAAGCCCATATCACCTTAAAGTAGCTGTAATGATGCAAATCATTTTAAATTGTTCTTTCGTATTGAGTCCCGAACGATTAAAAAGCCAAAAAAACAAAAACAATAAAAACATATCGAGTATATATAAGAAGTCTCGCTTGGAAAAATTTGTCTTGTGATTAGCAATGAAAATTAAGCATAATTTTGAAATCACGGAAAATATAATCTCTTGTGAGTCTGTCTTTTTGGTACAGTGAATATAATTTATAAGGGTATATCCTGCACGACTGATTGATTTCTTACAGGAATTTTAAAACGTGACTTTACTCTTTTGCGATTGCCAGTAAATGTTTTTAAAGCAAAACGGCGTGCATTTTGTCCATTGCCTTCAACAGGGTAGTAAAATTGAGGGTGTCGTCCTAAACAGGGTATGTATTTTAGGAATTTTGTGTCCTAAACAGGGTCAGGGTTTCAAATCCCCCAGCGGCTCAACTACACCCAAGTATTGGTCGACTTCCCCTATCACCCCTCCTCCCCCGGAGGGGCTCTACTGAAATTTAGTTGCATCCTTCCTCACGAACAAGCAATTGCAAAAAATTCAAATCTGGTCCTAGTTGTTTGAAGGCTTTAAATTAAAGCCTTGTAAGTACCAATATCAATATTCTCCTTACAGTATCACAATTACATCACTAAAAGAAAATGTTAGGAGAATTAAAACCTGATCGACAGGAGGGAAAATTTCTTGATCTTTTATAAAATTCTCATAACTTGAAACTTAAGGAAAGGTATGGAGATCAGTTTGGAGAATTTGGGGCCTAAAGGGCGTCAAGTACGAGTTGGCATGGGAACTATCCCTGCATTTGCGTTAACCGTCGTTCGAACTTCTCAGCCAAGGCGCTCAAAACTCTCAAAACTCAAGGAAACATTTCGGTCGAGAAAAACAATTTGAAATACATAAAATTCATAAGAATCAATTTAAGTTTTAATTCATTTCCGATGGAAAAATTGAGAAGAATATGAAGATCGAGAAGTATGTGCCAACTTTGCACAAATCTCCCAAGGGTCAATAAAAAAAATAGATGCCTGAAAAAGTACTTTCCTGGGGCCCGTTTCTCGAAGCTCCCGGTAATTACCGGGCCCGTTAAGCTGTTTTGTTTTCCATTTTAGAAGGGAGTTTTAGAAGTTTTGAAAATTATACAGTGGAGTTATTAGCTAACGAAACAAAATGGACTTCATTAGAGGACAGAACACACCCTACTTTTCTTGAGACTTTGATTCAAAAATATGATTCCGGGCCCGTTAAGTTACCGGGACTTTCGAGAAACGGGCCCCTGGCCCGAAAATTCTTTTTGAGTTTTGAGAAATACACGCAGGCCTGTTATGTACGGTCACGTATTAAACAGAGCCTTACGTTGTTTTCTGGGAGTACAAAGTATTAAATATTATTCCTTACTTTTCTTCGGCGGATGCCCTTAAAATGAAAAATGAGAAAGGATGGGTGGATTGGTGTACATTATCAAAACCGCTCACGAACAACCCATTCTTTAAATGCTTACACGTATGCAATGCGACTCGAATCATGTCCATTGAGAGTTTAACTTAGCTTAAGCAACAAACAATCAGTGCTTTTGGTTTAGAGCTCAGCTCAACCGTAACGTGAGTTACATTAAAAGTGTATATACACCCATGGTGTCCTCGGTGGACGAAGGTCTACTACCAAAGCTTTGCATTTTTGATAGATTTGTATGCGCTGGTCTTGGATCACATGCACGTTTAGTTGACCGTTGCCAACTTTATGCACGTGCAGAAATAAAGGATTAACTTGAGAAGCAAAATGACCTGTTTTAAAATTGTGAAGAGCTTAGTAAAGGTCATTCACAGAACGAAAGTAGCTAATAACTCGGCTTCGACACTTACATGTAATGTTCGTCCTTAAATAATACGAGCCTTGCTAAACCGATAAAGAGGGACAAAGCAAAAAGCGACGACATTTTAAGAGAATCAGTAGGTTAATATTAGCTTGGAAAACAAAACAACATATTTCCTTTAGAATGGAAGTAAAGAAATGTGTAAGCTAGTCAGTTTAGCGAATAATCGTTGCTAGACTCAATTTAGTTGCGTCGGCAAAGTAAAAGCCTTCTAGACTAAAACATTGACTGCACTGGGCTTTCAAGCGGATTTGTCTTGCGCTAATTACCCAGGTGTAAAACCTACCACTTTTTTCAAGACAACATACTTTAATCCATCGCATTAAGTCTCTACACGCCAGAGGTCGGGATACAGAGTTGTAGACATAGCTTTAATAGTTTCTCTTTGTTATCTCTGATTCTCGATCGTTGCATTAAGATGACCCCAAATTAAGCGGGCGCAGTCTCGGACTCATTAAGTAGTTTGCAGATTTACAGTTTTTGAGCCGCGATTGCTCTTCACTATCTATTTACTGAAGATAATCCTGATTCTTGAATCTGGGAATTCTGTTAACTTTGCTTTTGGAGTCCGGAATGCTGGGTTTTCTGGGTTTTGGAATCCGGAATTCAGCTTAAGGAATTATAAATCCTACTAACGATTGGAATCCCGAGTCCAGTACCTTGAATCCGGAATCCACAACGTGGAATCCAGAATCCAGTATCCAAGACCCAGTTTCTTGGACAAAAATGGAAGAGAAAAGAAAAGGAAAGAAAAGAAAAAAGAATAAAAAAATTGGCAGCTGATGTTACTTCTAACTTTTAATCATCATTGCCGTAGACTAAAGAAGTAACCGCGATTCTGTCATGAGTTTGACAAAAAAGTTTGATTTGTGATCTGAAAATTCTCTCAAACTGACAGGTGAAAATGCTTACTTCCTCAAAAATAAATGAAAACAAAGGCAAAAGAGCTTTTTCCAGGCCACTTAAAGTTATAAATTGGTAAATGGTAAGCAAAATTCCGTTTGGTTCGTACCAACCGGAATGAACGGACTATATCAAATTTTCGGTTGGAATTTCCGAAAAGTGACCTTTTAACCTTTTACCTTCCATCCGGAATTTCCGAAACTTTTTTTTAAATGGTAAGCACCCCTGGAGACTGTTGAAAGTAGAGAGACGAAAATCCGAGTCTGAACGCTGACGTCATTTTTTAAAAAATAGACAAATATGCATGAGCGTGCATATATAGAAGTTTTTATAGGACGGCAAGCACACTCACCTTATAATAACCTTTTATTCTAAAACAAAGTTTAGATGGTATTTATTATTTCAGTGAGGACATTGTGTTCTTTAATGGTATACTAGGTCATAGAAAAAAATGAACTTTAGAACCTGAAAGGGTAAAAACACAAGAATGGCAATATTTTCCTCACGCTCTTAACTTTATGGTGTATACGTGTAGGTGTGTTCGGTCGGAAGTCAATGACGTTGACCTAGCCTTATTTATCATGGATAAAATTATCACGTACAGCTTTGTTCTCCTCAAACTTACATCAGGCAACAACTTCCTTACCAAAAAAAAAATAATAAAAAAAAAAATAAAAAATAAAGGTGATTCATTTCTACTTGCTTGTCCATTCTGTTTTGTTCAAGTGATATGATACACAACCGCAAATCCCGTTTAAAAATGCCTCCGACTGGCGGTTCAGACGTAAAACCTTGAAACTTTGGAAGCCTACTAAGAAGGGGCAGTGGTCTGTGGAGTTGACTTTGCGGTTTTTCGTGCTAGACAATTTTCATGCGGTATGATTAAAAAGCGATATATTGCGAAATTTTCAAACGTGCGGGACGTAGATTTTTTGTCTGTGCTTGGGTCGATTTTATAATAGACTTGGTATGGATATTCCGTTTGCGGTTTTACAGTGTTCGGCATCCTAAAAACTGACCTTAAGATGCTTCGGGATAGTATTTCAGCTGTTTTGTCTTTTTGAAGGTTATCACAAAAGACAAGCAATTACAAGACTCAAAGGAAAAAAAGAAAACAGATTGAAGAAGAAAAGGAATGTGATAAAGGAATGACATAGCAGATATTTGACGGAAAGATTTAGTCAAGTGACCTCTTCTACAGCCCACTTATACATTTGTGATCGGTCTAGTAATGAAACTGCGAGAGGAATCTGTCTTAATCTTCCATTTATTAGATTAAATAATATACACTCTGGTGGAAGAAAAATGCGCTAATCACTGCGGACAACATTTTAGAATTGGGCCTAAATGATTAAGAAATTTATGGAGGACTAGAAGTCTTGCAATATTAATATTTCCCACTTGTCTCAGTCTCAATGTTAGAAAGAAAGATGCACGTGGATTAGTTAACAAATTCGTCGAAAATGTGATGTATGGATTCGTATCACTTTCCTTGTTAGATGTTTTCATCCACAAGCCAATTACTATAAAATCTCAAGAAGTATTTCACTGTTATTATTGGCTTATTTCCTTTAAAGAGCTTTACTTGCTGAGAAGTCATGATTTAGTCATCAGATCACTCTTGATCTTTATCTGAAGTGTCCTCAAATGAGAGTCTTTGATTAAAGCAATCAGCGAAAAACTTCCACTAATTAAAATTCTCGGTGAAAGTTTCTTTGAACGGTCTTCCTCTTTCTTGCCTGTATCTCCAGCCTATCTACCCTGTAGCATACTGACGAAGCTATGCTTTGTATGCGAGCAGGAGAGATGTCTTTGGCTTACTGAATGATCCCTTATTACGGTAATGAACCGACTGCGTCTCAAGGACTTTGCGATAACATCGTATTCACTCGGTAATCCTGTAGCCATAACATCACCTCGCGCATTTTGTATTTCATGGGCCCAGCACCACCGGCGTAAGCGACAGTTTTATTTTGCACAACGTAAAGGCGAATAGGAACAGCGCCATAAGCAATGTTTGCGCAATTCAACATGGTATCCACCGCAACGTAAAATCCAGAAAGGTCCACCGACTTTGCCATCTTCTTAGCTGCCCTGCATCTTTCCTCCTGTGTACGGTGCATTGGGATTTCGTTGGTTCCCTTAAAGGAAATTGCAAGTAAAATGAGCTTTTCTTTTACGACTGTGGTTAATTGATTTAAATAAGGTTTATTCAATGGAAAATGAACAACCACTCAATGACCTTGGGTTCCAGGCTAGATGTTGCCGGTGTGTCGTGGGCCGGTGGGCAATACGCTTCGCAGGGAAAAAAACGTAGACAGTTAACCGTATAGTTTTGCGCTAAAACTGTCAAAAAAGGAAAATCATAATGTTTACCTAATCTATTTTCGTCCCCTTTTAAAGGCGGGGAGGAAACAGTTAAGTGCCAACATTGTTGCAGAAAGAAAGAACAAGACGATTTACGTCATCTTTCTAAGACGTTCTCGCTGGCTAGTGCATATAGTGTACACTATAAACCACAAGGGTCAAAGTAACTTTGGAAAAGAAATAAACTTCGTTTTTTTATGTCTGAACTAGAAAATTCTGCAAAGTCGGCCTGAGAGACTAAAGGCTAATTTTTAAAAATGCTTCAAATAAAAAGTATGGCCGGCATGAGGAAATTTGGCATGTGATTTTCTTCTTGACAGTAGGAGGTTGAGATTTTGTTTTGGAAAAGTGGCATTTTTCCAAGTTACATAGATGCCACTCGTCAGTGAAATTAGCAGCAAGGTCCAACAACATAAACCGGAGGTCAACAGATTATTCAAATTACTTTTAACGCGAAATAATAAAAACCGGAAAGCCTCCCAAAAAGAGACAAGTTACCTTGAATGCCCATCCATCTACAGGATGTGCTTCTTCAATGTACACCACTGCAAAATCGGCGATATCAGAGAACTGGTCTTTTAATTGACGGTATCTCTTCAGCATTTCCATAAATACGGGACACGTGGAGCTCCCAAAGTTCAGGACCAACGGCCGACTTCCCTTGGCAAAGTCCAAAAGTCTGTGGTAGCGGTTTCCATGTATGGACACCACCGGTGAATTGTAGGCCTTGCCGTTTGGTTTTACCCTTTTGTTGATGTCAGCCAGTAGGCAGTGGTACACGTTCTGAAACATTTTCCAGGTAAACAGTGAATCCCAGTAAACGTCGGTCGGCAAGGAAGTATCGGGAGTCATTTTGCACATCGCTATGCTGATTACTGATTTAAAAAATGGGAGAACTTTGAGAAGCCAGCCCAGCGTGAAAATCGCAGCCAAAAATGAGTAGATGAAGAGACGCTGTAGAATCTGAAACTCGTGGAGCATTTTTGCTGTAGCAGGTTTAATACAGAGGGGCCGCTCAGTTCCAAAATGGATAAATATGTTGTTTTGCTGCCCTTTTATACTGATCCGCCCACACAGTGATGGACTAGTAGAAATCCGCTTTCGTTGAGTGACTTAAAACAATACCTAAAGCACAGTCTACTGAGTTACCGGTATGCAATTACCGCAATTAAAAATATCTCGTCATGGTATGCCATAAAGGTGGCTTGATATGGACGTGGGACGAAAAAGACTGGTGGCCAAAGATTTGAGCGAGTTCTTCAAGGAATAAATTGCCAAATGGCGAAGCCCGTTTGACCTGTGTTATTTCGAATTTTCTCTCCCACCATCGCGATTCCTGATTTTTTTTAGCAAAAATTAATTTAAACAAACAAGCACTGTAGTACACTTGTTGTTAATTGTTCCACGCTTGTTGTTATTTATATTGCTACCGACTGCGCTGGACAACCATGCCTTGTACTCCAAAACTGGCCGAAATCATGGACGTTGAAAAAAAGAGACATTTAGTTGAGTTTTATGCACATATTGTTGCATTAAATGATTCTTTTCGATGTTTAAGTGAAGAAATGTAAGCTTTCGTGCTCAAGGTGTCAGTTCAGCACCGAATTACTGTGATTGCTAAAAGCCGATGAATAAAAGCGCCAATGAACATTCGCTTCCCATGGGGGACAATAATGTAATACAATTAACAACAAATGCGTTACATCTAATCGAGATCTAATGTACCGCTCGTTATTTTTCTGAAACTGCTTGTACTGTACCGCTAAGCTGGTCCTCACAATAGAGGCTTTTAAAAGTTATCTTCGTTTTTTGTGACTTTGATCAAAGCACCCGGCTATGCTAGTGCCTAACATAGAGGCGCATCTGTCACTTCTGATTTAGCGATACCATTAATCTGTTGCCTTGACGCTTTCATGATCCTCGACATAGCCGTAAAATTTCATACCACAATCGGATTGGCAAGGGTCATAAGTTTATCTTTGCAAACTGGCCAATGCAACCTCAGTTTAGTAAAGTTTACATATTTCTTCGGTTCTTATTATTGGATAGACCGCAGAAAATAAAAAACCTTTATAACTTGTTAACTTCCTGATAAATAAGACAATAAATTAAATTGACTTTCGTTTGACAGCAAATATGTATTCAGACATGATTAACCAGTTAAAGTAAAAGAAAGAATGTCACATAAAATTAGTCTTCAATCACTTTAGTCCCTTTTTAGCACGATTTCTTAAAGGTGCAGTAGCGATCATTTTATAGTGTTAATTATTGAAAAACCCGCAGAAAAATTTAGTTTATCTGTGGGAATTCAAACCCGTGGCTTGCAGTCTTGTTGAAAACTACAGTTAGTAACTCAGTTTGCTTCTGCAATGTGGAAAACTGCCAAGCGTGCACGTGCTTAGGGTATCTTGAGCAACTTGCACTGTCCCTGAGGGAGGAGTGGGTGCGTTTTACAATGTTCTTTAGTTGGTAGCTCGAAATAGTCATCATCTGTCTTACAAACTTTAGGCCCAAGGTGGGCTCATTTTACCCCCCCTCCCCCTACTCATACAGTGCCTCGTCTTACAGGTATTTAGAACTACCTAAAGTTACACGGAAGGGAAAGAAATCGCAGCAAGGATTGAGGCCACACCTGGGAATCGATCTTAGTACCTCTGTCACATCCGGGGGGACTCGCTTATATAAGCAATATAGGGTATGTGCCGCCCCAAAGAGTAGGGGTTTTGCGCCGTTTTGGTGTAAAAACTTGTATAGACTTTGCCCATTTTGGTCTGGAATCGGTTAAGGCTTTCTAGGGAACGACGGAAATGTATGAACGTATTGATCCTTTCAATTCCAAAATTATAATTAAAAAGAAAGAAAAATATGCGAATGCGAAATCGAATTTTAGCAGGAGCCCATCAGCTCCTGATTTTAAGAAAAAAACTTTCTGTTGGTGTTCTAATCTAAGCAATGATGACATAATTTCTTGGAGGACAGGTCTGAAAATGGGTGTGAAAAATGACATTTTTTGGTCTGAAATAGGGTCAGGATTTTGGGAACCTTGCGGCACACCCCCACCAAGAATTCCCAGGAATACCCCCCTGGCTCTCACAGAGGACCGCGTAATAACTAACTGTGCCAATCCTTGCTCCTTGTGGATTGCTCCTTGATCTTTAACTTGCACTGGGGCTTAAGACAATCAGAGGTTCTCAAAAATCTGGTGGTTAGTGGGTTATTTTTTGTTCTATAGGTATAGATGGGTTTTCTTCACACATGCTAATAGAAGTTATCGTGGTTTGTTAAGCACCACTGCTAACCTCAGTTATCAAACCCCTTCTCCCCTTAATGTTCAGGACCCATGGTCATCTAAGAGCTGACACTGAAAATTTTCTCTTTGCCAATTGAAAGGCGGGTACCCAGCGATAATTAATCACTATTTCGTAAAATTTCCATTAATAATCTAACGCATTATCTCCGCTTATTATTTCCGAAAAATGAGCGGTTATCCAGGATTGTCTAAGGGCGTTTCATAATCTCATGCTGAGATTCGCTTTTCCATTATTATATTGTGACAAACCGTGCAAAAATAATTCTATTTAACAAAGAGCCATTATGACTCACCATCAGGCACGAAATTCATGTGTTTTAACCATATCACAGTTTTAAAATTCATTTGAAATAGAGAAAAAGCAATTATTTGTTTTCTTTCTTTTGTTTTAGGAAAGGTTCAAAACAAATGATGATCGACATATATTTGAACTCTTCTTTCGTGTGTATGATTCAAACAGTAGATGCCTTTCTGACTGCACTTTTGAATGATCAGATACCTGGACATTGTTATCGGGTCTTGTTCATAGTCTACTGATTTTGTTTGTTCTTAATGGATATAAAAATAATCTCTTTTAAAAAAGCAAGGTTTAGTGATAAGGTACCGTAAGAAGCAAAACACGTTGGAGCCGATAAAACTCATGATGAAGCTATAAATCTGAAACGATGATAAGAAATGCTCCGTGAAAATACTGCGAAGCTTTTTCTGTGTTTAGTTTTACAGTTGGAGCTCGGGTTCAAAAAATTACCGTTTGCGTGATCTTGATTTGAGTTATTTTAAATGTTTACTCCTTGGAAAGAAGACTGCATAATACTGATGGGGAGTTGGTGGTGGGGGGCACCAAGAGTAGAGTGAAAGGCGGCAGTGTGTGAGAGTCACTCAACAACTCAAATTACATTCTGTAGAATACTGGCTTAAAAAATAATACCACCCAAAAGTACAACTGAAGAGCTTTTTTTCGGAAGTCACACCGTAGAATTTTGTCAGACTTGAAACTTAGACCAACTTTTATACAGCAAAATAGTACCTTTTTTGGTATAGCACTGCTGAGTGGGTGACTAGAATGGTCTTTCCACAGAGTCTCGCGTCAGAATACTCAGTAAACTCATTTCAATTTAGCCGGAGGCAGTTTATGCAAAAGAAAAGGGTTTCATTCGAACGGTCACGGATTTACTTACTCCACAGACTTAAAATTTAGAAGCTAGTGTTAGGTTATACAGAAGATTTGCCCACAACTCGACATTTTTGAGCGATGAAGTCACGACTTTGACAGTGACCCAACCAAAACTGATTTTGCGAAACTTGTGATGTACTGGTGGAGGGGTCAGCAAATTAAATTAGAACAGCTACCCTCGGCTTTTAGCAGTGAAGACGTGTAATGTCATGGATGTATAGCTAGCCTCGGCAAAGCAGGCGTATCTTGCAGCGCGATCCATGATTTTCTTTTTGCGGGAATAACGTTATCCTGCCAGCTTGGACGTTAATACTGCCAGAGAATTGGGACGAGCTAGTCAAAAACTGTTTTTAAGGGAGATGTTGATGGGTAGGGAGGGGAAAAAAACTCCTCTCCGTCCCTCCCCCCTTAGTCTTTTCCTCAGCTTTTCAAGATGGCGGCCGCGCTCAATGTACCTCTGAGTTTCCGTTAAAAAACGCCTGCTCTGCAGGCTATAATTAGTAGGGCACACTTACTCAGTTAATAATTCAACAAGTGTTGTACTGTTCATGCTGGTTCTGAGTTTCGTGACGAGAGGGCACAATGTAAAAGATACTTGTCTAGTTCACTGGTCAGATCAAGGGATAAAAAAAATGCATTTATTTTTACCTTTCCCCCACCAACCCACAACTTGAATAACAAAGGACGTTCTTTGCCCAGGTAATTATTGTATTAGTCTGATATCCAGAAAGTTTCAATAAACGACGGTAATGAATTGATTTTTTTTATAGTGGACTGGTATATTTTACTAAGGGGCTTTACCGGGGATTTGACAACGGCGACGCCACTGAAAACGTTACTGAAAAACTGACCGCGTCCTTTCAAGCTTTTCTCGCCGTAACCCCTACTCTTTCAACCTTTTAGAAGTTGAGAAACTAAGTGCAGAGCTGGAGCTGGAGCTGACAGTTAGATGTTGACAATAAAATTTATCGCCTCGCCGTTCACGTTCTCAAGCTAAAGAGAAATAAAAATTTGGTCATTTCAAGTCGTAATTGTGCTGGGACGGCAGAAGAACTGACGGCAAGAACGGAACCAAGCCGTCGATAGTCTCGTTCAAAATTTCAACATGACGCATTGTCTATTTCAATTCAACGTGGGATGCTGACTCGTGTGGAAGTGGCTTTTGACAGTTCGTGAAACTGGTTAGCCAGCTCCCTTCACTTTCGAGAAGAACTAAAGATAGGTACTCAACGCGTCCATTTCAGTTTCACAACATGTGAAATGAGCAAAAAGTGGGAAAAAATCCACTTCCGTACAGGGTAGTAACGAGTTATGTTGGACTCAGATCAGGGACCAAATGGCTGGGACCAGGGATCAAAAGCCCGGGATTAGGGGTCAAAGCTATGGGTTCATGAATCAGAGGCAAAATTCCGGGATCAATGCCGCGTTGGACTTAACGAACCTGAGGACCTTAACTCCTAAAATCATGTTTTATCCTAACAATCCAAAGCTGCCAAG